GTCGAGTTCCTCGGATTAATCGTGGAAGAAGGCAATGTGTCAATGGATCCTGTGAAAGTAGAAGGAGTATTAAAATGGCCTGTTCCCAAATGCGTAAAGGATATCCAAGCATTTATGGGCTTTGCCAACTTCTATCGAAGATTCATACTTGGATTCTCAGATATAGCCAGACCAATGAATGATCTGCTAAGAAAGGATGTCAAATGGGACTGGACGGAAAAACAACAGAAAGCTTTTGATGAACTTAAGAAACGTTTCACAGAAGCACCCGTTCTAGTCATGCCAGATGTTGAGAAGAAAAAGAAAATAGAGACCGATGCTTCTGATTACGCAACAGGAGCGGTTCTCTCTCAACTGATGGAAGATGGATTATGGCATCCAGTAGCATATTACTCTAAGTCAATGAATGATGCGGAAAGAAATTACGACATTCATGATAAGGAGTTATTAGCGATCATTAGAGCGTTGGAGGAGTGGAGACACTATGTGCAGGGAGCACCTCACCCGGTTGAGATATGGACAGATCATAAGAACCTTGAATATTTCATGACGAGTCAAAAGTTGACCAGAAGGCAAGCTAGATGGAGTCTTTTCCTAGCGGAGTACGAATTTACACTCCAACACAAGCCTGGTGTGGTTAATGACAAAGCAGACCGTCTTTCTCGGAGATCAGACCATAGAGGGGGGGTAGAAAACGATAACTCAGATCGCATCCTTTTGAAACCGGAATTCTTTACCGTAAAAGCTGCTAAAAGAGGTCAAGTTTTGGTGCATGGAGAAAAACAATTACTTCAAAAGATACGAAAATGCACAGAACGAGAGCCTGAAGTCGCTAAAGCATTAGAAACGCTAAAAGCAGCACCGGTTCAATTGCGTAGAGGAATCGAAGAATGGAATGTGGAGGATGGATTGGTGTTATTCCGAGGATTAGTTTACGTTCCAAATGACAAAGAGATCCGCCGAGAAATATTGGAGTTGTTTCACGACTCTCCACCGGCTGGACATCCTGGACGAGCTAAGACCTTAGAATTGATTTCCAGAAACTATTGGTGGCCTTCAATGACGAAGTATGTCCACGATTATGTAGATGGTTGCGATAGGTGCAAACAAACGAAAGTGCTTCCGAGTAGACCAACGGGACCTTTACAGCCAAATGAAGTTCCAGAAGGACCTTGGCAGACAATCACCTGTGACCTAATAGTGGATTTGCCGAAGAGTGAAGGGTGTGATAGCATATTCGTAGTCGTTGATCGATTTTCGAAACAAGCGCACTTCATTCCCACCACCAAAGACGTAGACTCGAAGGGTATTTCCGAGCTATTTCTGAAGAATGTATGGAAACATCATGGAACACCGAAGAAAGTGATTTCAGATAGAGGAGCTCAGTTCATATCGAAGTTCATGGGACAAATGTCAAAGAGATTAGGAACAAAATGGTCTGCATCGACCTCCTATCATCCCAGAACCGATGGACAGACTGAACGCGTAAACCAAGAAGTCGAACAATATTTGCGCATGTTCACGTCATACAGACAGAATGATTGGGTATCTTGGCTGCCGATAGCAGAGTTTTCACACAATAATGCAGTCACAGTAACCGGTCACAGTCCGTTTAAAGTCCTCTACGGGTATAACCCAGATTTCACGATTCATCCAAACTCTATGTCCGTAATTCCCGCCGCAGATGAGAGGGTCGATCAAATGAAAGAAGCGAGAGATGATGCCGAAAATACTCTTAAGATGGTCAATGAGCGCATGAAGCGTTTCTACGACAAAGGAGTAAAAGAAGCACCTCAGTATAAGATAGGAGACAAGGTCTGGCTTGACGCAAAAAATCTTAAACAACGTCGTCCGAGTCAAAAACTGTCAGATCGTCGTCTAGGTCCCTTCGAAATACTAGAGAAGATCGGTGAAGTGAACTACAAATTGAAATTGCCGGAAAAATATCAGATCCACCCGGTTTTCCATGTAGAATTACTTACGCCATATCACGCATCTCGATTGATTCCTCATCCTCCTCCCAACCGACCACCTCCAGAATTGATTGACGATCGGGAAGAATTTGCTGTAGAAGAAGTACTAGATAGCCGATTGTTCCGAGGAAAGCTGCAATACCTAGTGAAATGGGAAGGATACCCGAAGGAAGAGTCATCTTGGGAGCCAGAAGAGAATTTGAAGAACGCTCCAATTCCTTTAGCGGAGTTCCATAAGAAAAATCCCACGGCCGCAGCCGGAAAATACCGAAGAATCAAAGGCTCAATACTGTTCACGGAAGATTTCAAACGATGGAGAGAAAAGAATATCCGACCTTCATTCGTTCGTGATGGCACTCACCTTAGAGAGGGGGTAATGTCACGAGTACCTTTAACAAACCATTATTCTTTCCTGAATCTTCCTAAGCGTCAATATACAGTGCCTAAACCAAACCCTAACCCTACCTTGAAAGCGTCTATCATTCCCGAAATACCTTTAGCGCCCACAACACGTGTCTTCAATGTGACTGATGAAGAAGACGAGTTCTTTGATTGTGAATAGATTAGATTAGATACGATAAGATAAGATATGGTCACGTGATGCTTCTTTAATATTCTACAATGTTCTATGGTACGATTCCCTTTCTCTTTTTATGATTGGCTAGTAGTTGTAACTCAGTTTCAATCTCCGTCTCAATAGTTGTATATAGGTAGCATGTCTTGGTCGATAGTTCCTTAGTTCAAACCTCTTGTATCTACAACTGTAGCAATCCAAGACGTACTTGCTCATCGTCCTCTCTTGTCCGATAACCTTTGTTTGAGTCCTAGTCTCTGCCCAGCGTTAATTCGTTATTGGGTTGTGACAAATAGCAGCAAAAGCGTCAAAATGTGCATGTAGCGAGGGGCTATTAGGTGGGATATAAGTTTGAGATATGGTTGGGACACTGCCCATGAAACCGAAGCGAAAACCATTCGGAATATGTGCATATTTACGTATGAGATTTGACGAAATGAGAAGCTGCAGCCAGGCCTCGGGCCTATAGGGAGTGATAGCATTAGATGCTCTCGCTTTGAGGACAGTCTTGAGCTCCGTGATCCTTTGCTCCGCACCCCGAACATTCGTGCACGTGAGCTCGAGAGGGATTGGTGCATCCCTTGGGTCTCTGCCAGTCGTAGCAGATTTCGAGGCCCTCTGGATTGACCAAATGACCCTCTGCGTTTCGACGACATCGAGTTTTGGTTCGTTTGTCCCATAGGAACTCGGATGCACATTTGTGGATGGGGTGACGGAATCGGCCAAGGCAGAGGGCGCAGGCTGATGGGCTGGTTTGGCCTGCGCCCGCTGGAAAAAACTGCTGCAACTTCTGCGGTTTTTTCGCCATTTGGTTAGCAGGGCGGTATGGGTGATAGCGGCCATCATTCACAAGAGGTACTGTCTCTGCGTGCCCATTTCGGCTGGAACTCACATCTCTCCCCCGAGAACGGGAAGAAGTGTTGGGAACTGTGAGCGAATGTTGCAACTGAGTGCAATAGAGCGAGCATGAAAGGATTCGAGTAAGCCAGGATTCGAACAATTATATGAAAGCAAAGATTTTGTTAAGCCATGGTATACAGGAAAGTACGAAAGCAGTGTGGGTGTAAGCGAAGCAGCGGTTAAGTGTTTGAGAGGGACACAGTGAAAGCGGGAGTTTGAGTTAGCATGAGGGTAGATGGAGCGACAGCGTAGAGAGCGCAAGCAAGGGAGAGCGGAAGACAAAAGACGAAGTCATATATGCAATAGCACATGGATAGCAGATGGGGAATTGTACCCCAAAAGCAAGGACAGCCAAGAGTGAAAGCATTTAGACAGCCAGCGGGGTTCGTTTCCGACGTGAGATTGAATATATAAAAGAATTTGGTCAGTGATTGAATGTTGGTGGGTAATGCGCTACGCACCATTTTGAGACCTTCATCTCGTTCGGCCTCCCAGACATCGTCGGATATCGAGTTGTACAGGGCATTATTGAATAAACCAATATTGAACCCTTGGTCTTGCGCTAAGCGATCATGCCATTCACGGCGCACAAATCCCACGTAGCGAAGCAGAGCCTTTTCTCCTCGCGGACGCATGCGATGCTCATGGTTGGTAATGAGCGTGAAAAATAACGCTAAAGCCTGCTGATGCTTTTGCGGCCAATTGTTCTTTTCAATGTGAACGAGAAAGCTGGTCTTTGCGAGGTCGAATTGCCGCCAAGATAGGTCGTGGTCCTGTAGAGCCTTCTGAGAAGCTTTGAAAGACGCTATCGTCTTGAGGGCGACCATACCATCCACTTTGGCGAAGCCAAAAGCATCATCTGAGTCTGATGTGGACCTAGAGGTGGTGGCAGCCTCGTGGCAACCGTCAGGACTGAAGTACCATAATTCTACGTACTCCATGTTCTTGACCTTTTGGATGGCATACTGGGATGGGCGAGGTATGATAACGTCTGCGACAACGGCCCCATCATCAAAATCGTTAATCTTGGGCTTTTTCTTCTCAGCTTCGCGTCTCTCTAACTGTTCCTCAGCCTCTTTTTCGGCTCTCTCGCGCTCTAGCTGCTCTTGCAAGGTGCGGGCGTCTTCCTCATTCTGTTGCTGCCAAAGGAGGATGCGCTCCTGGCGCTCGAGTCTCCAGCCCACAGCCATTTGCTCGAGTGCATCTTCTCTGGCTATGCCCCCTGCCACAAGGGCATTGAGCCATCCCGCGTACGCTGCTGACTCGAAATTGGGCTGCGCTTCCAGCGCTGGGTCCGCTAAGATGCGTTCCATGGTAGGCCGGGTGAATTTGGAGTGTTTGCTGAGAGTGTGTTTTGAGAAATTGACTGGGTGTTTCTGAGAGTGATAGAAAGAGCAGAAGGAATGTAGAAAAGAAAAGGAGGAAGAACGTTGTCGTTGAGGACGACTGAGACGATACGGCGCGACGTCACAGTACGAAGTCAGAAGGTTCGTACTGCTTCCGACGCTTGCGCAAAGACTTAATTCTGTTCCTACACTCGTTCCTCGTTACATAATAGACTATCAAACAAGGTTTCGGGCACTATGGGGATAATCGACTAATAAGCTCTTTCGTTAATCAGCTGGTTCTGATATGGTTATCGCCGCAGTCTTTTCCCTTGAATTCTTCAGGAGCACTTTCCCTGCTGCACAGTCCCCATGAATCGCACAGAAAAAGTTATATCCGACGTTACCATTGAACGAACGCAGAAGGCATTGGATGATGCTACCTCAAAGTTAAACTCGACCTCTGTTAGAAAGCTCGACAAGTGGGATCAGGCAGGTTCGTCATTCACAAGCTGTCCCGGTAAGCGAGGTGGTATTCAAATTTCTATGTCATCCTGTAGAGGACTGTGTCGCCCAGACTGTTCAAGAAGCTGAATCGGCGTACGATTTCTACACCCAGAATGCAGCCATCAACTCGGCGTCTGACGCGATGGTCACGGACCTCTCGAAGAAGAATATGGGTAACTTTCTGGGAGAGGCAAAGAAGGTGATGGAGGCCCTGGATGTTCTGCAACAGGTTCACCCGTTTGTTGGTGGTGTGTTCACTTGTTGATATCTCTGCCTCAGCTAATACTTGGATAAATCGCAGTGGCTATACTCGCTTTCAAGGCTGTCGTGAATCTTGAGCTAACAAGAAGAGACAATGATCGTAGAGTTGGATTGATGTTAGCTCAAGCATCTGACATGATGACCATACTTCTTCAGTTCGTCATCTGATGCCAGTTTTGAATGACCTTTGCTGACTAAATTCAATGGTAGACTTAAGGATACTAGGGATCTTGCCATCGTAGGACCTCACGGCGACATTCGGGGGCGATTGGATCGTGTCCTGGACGGCATCAAGAAAGACATCGAGGATTGCGGAAATGCCATCGACAAATACTACAAGTCCAAATTCATGGGTTAGTTTCCCTCATTCTTGAGTGTTTCATTTACGGAATCGCATTCCCAGTGAAATTCTTCAGATCATCCCATTGGGCGAGCGAGTTCCTGAGAGTTTGCAACAGCTTTTCCCAGCGTACGCAGGATCTCCAACTCGCCTTAAATATCAGGACAACCTTGAGAGTTGATATCGCCATTGATAAGCTGGACAAGCTGATCCGGACGCAAACCGATCGCGAAGCAATATTCGAGAAAGAAGTACAAATGCGGGGTGGTAGGGAGAAATGTTTGGAGAGTGAAGACAAACTAGTTGAGCTACTGAAAATCGCCGAGCAACGGGAAGGGCGTTCACAGAATAAAGCGCATGCTGAGGCTCCCACCAAAGATGTCAACAAGCCTGCTTCAAAGACCACTTCTGCGAATGGATCAGTCGGCGAGCCGTCTCGCCTTGATGCATCGCTGCTTCACGAACTGCGTGCTCCATTATGCGACTTACTTGATGAGAATCGCACACTCTTCATGTTCAAGCTCGATGCACAGACATCCGACATTAAAGATTCCATCAAGGATTCTGAAACGCGCATCATGTGGGCCTTCAACAGCAGATTTCGACGAGTCAAGGATCCGGTAAGGATTAAGAAACTCAACCTTATGCATCACCAACTCGTCCAATTTGATTAGAACCTCCGATATATCTGGAAAGAGATGGTATGTCTGTGTTGACGTGATTGAAGTGCATACTTATTATCACCTAGAAATGGACAACCAGTGTCAAGACATTGTACTTCATTGCAGAACTCCATGATTATTACGTGAACCGTTTCTCCCGCCTCCGTCATAATACTTCACCCCCAGAAGCCGTGTCAGATGCTTCGCCATTGGTATTGCGAGTTCCATCTCCAACTCCCACTGTCTCTGTCATGTCCGACTCAGAAGGAGAAGACCGCGATCTTCCAGTAGTCGATCCTTCATACCAAGAACTTCCTACTATCGATCCTGCAGACAAATGGTGCTTGAAATATTTGTCCGTCTTCTACGTCCCAAGTTTATCTGAAGGCTTCGATGGCGATGCGAATGGCTTGGTCAGCATAAGGGAGGTGAATGCTTTCACGTCTGCGATGCCTTTCGGTTGGACTCTACCACAGGCACTGGCATACTGGGCTGCAGGTAGGTATTTTATCGTCAGGTTGAGCCAGTGCTTATGTCAGTGAAGGCTGGAGAGTGGATAGCCAATACTACCATTCACGAATCGAACAAGTCTTAAACAGCATGGTCTATGCGCAAGCAGATGCACTTCCAGAAAACAGGAGGTGTATCGCCACATACTTGGACTCATATGTCATCGATGGTGCGTCGCTCTGCAGATCTGTTGACGAGGGCATTTACACAACAGATAGGTATCAAAAGACTCGTTCGTTCTCTTGCAGAGCTTGGATCGGAGGATTCGGACTTGGATCTCGTACAATTGATTGCTCGGCGCCGCGAAGCTCATGAGAAGACATTGGCGGATAAGCTCAACATTGTCAAGTATGAAATCGACTCTAAAGAGTCTATCAAACTTTTTGGATCTGGTCGCATCGAAAACGTGGGTTGCTGGCTCGGCGATTGTGCTGAATGCTCACGAGTCACTGCTTGTTCAGTTCTTGCTACCTTTACTTTACCTCGTGATCAGGAGGCATTTGCAGATCATGAAACTCGCAAGCACAGTAATTCTGGTCGAGAGAGAGCTTGAGTCTGCAACTCAAACGATGGAAAATATCTTGGAAGGGGTGTCTCTGCGCGTGGACTCACTGGCAGGTGCGTTTCTAAGCTATACTGTGATGCGCTAGCTCCTTCTACCATCACAGAATCATTTCGTCAGCAGGGCAATGATCCAAAAGCGAGATTCACGTGGTATGCGCATGGCTTGGTATGTGGACAGCAACTTTACATCAATTCCCGGTGTAATCCCTCGGGAGTAGTACAACTTTTGGTATAGTCCAGAATTAACCACAGACGACACCGAATACTGGGAAGCTCACAATTTTGGGCTTGATGATGACGAGCTGGAGATCGATTCAACAGCATTGAAGCTTGGTCCTTTCCGTCTGGCAGAGAATAATGAAAGCATAGGAAGGCCTGTCAAGTTCGTCGCATTTAGTCCCGTTCAGCAGCCTGAAGATATCATGGACGAATATATCCGTTTGCGGTGTATGAACGACCTGTCCAATACATGGGGTTACCCTTACGATGTCCCGCCTTACCTATCGTTGACCGACAAAGAAAGGTTCAACATCCTGTCCCAAGAACTACCACCCACAGACGTCGAGCGCTGGAATTCATTCGCTGAACTTCACATGCGTGGACAATTGTTCCAGTGAGTCCATGCTCTGTCTATCTATGATTCTCCATATATCTGCCTTTCCGGATGTTAGGTGTCAGTGCGATGCATGCCACTACCTTGTCAGTGGTGTCCTTCACCGTTGTGTAGACTGCGACTGCGGTGGGTGTTATTGAGATAACCCTTTCGTGCAAGACTGCTAATGTTTACATAGACGACTATGACGTGTGTGTAGATTGTGAATCTCAGCCAGTCTCAGATCACAAATACCCATCCGACCACAAGTCAACGCACAACATGCTTGTTTTCCGTATGTCGACATCTCATGGTCGCTGCCGCAGAATCCGTTGGTATGCAAGGAATTTCTTATCCACTTGTATTCCCGCTGCAGCACCACCAGAAGCACCATTGACTGTGCAAGAAGACGAATCCCAAACGCAATCAGATGGAACTGAACTTCCGCATCCGACAGAAGCCATTCAAGTCGACGATTCTTCCACCTCTGTCGATTTGCGAGAAGGTGATGAGAAGCTGAATAGGAATCCGGAAGTAGCATTGGGGGAGATAGCTGGAGCCTCAGTCGCGAAGGGGGATGTCTATTCTTGCGCTGAATGCAGCGTCAAGATGAAGGGCATCTTTTATGTATGCATTACCTGTGCAGGTCAGATTTCCATACGTCTAATGGGGCACAAAGCTTAATGATTACCGCAGAACTCTATTCTCCCATTGCCTTATGTGGTGATTGTGCATTTCACGATGCGTTCAACGTGGTCACAGTTCATCACCCTTATAAGCACTGGCTGGTCAAGATTAAAGACCGAGTTCAAGATACGGGAATCGGAACGTCAGACAAACCTTTGAATAACGTGGATGAGACTACTTCGCTTTCCTCGCTGGCCGCGATGGTGGAATCTCGCTTCGTGGAACAGGATCTCCGGCTTAGTGCACTTGTCGCACAGGTTGAACAACTCGTGCAGAGCATCGCTGTATTGACGGGAAAGGCAGAGCTTCCATCTGAATCCCTCAGTGATTGATTAGTTCTTAAATTGGTAGACTGTTGTATAACTTGGATTTGATTCTTGCTGTCTCGGCGACCTTGTACTAGTGTAGATCGATCGGTACCGATTTGCCATACGTACTTTGTAGATATGAAATAAACATGTTTGTTGGTTTCTAGGCCTTCAAAGTTATAACATCGGGCGGAAGAACTTGGTTTCTAAACTACAACTGTACAACAGAAAAACGGAACCTTGTATTATTTGGTAAGTATATGCAGACGTGGCAGCAAGCATGCTTACCTCAGGCCCGAATCTTGGTTCGAAAAACTGAGTGGAAACAATGTCATACTAAAAAGTCTATCAAAAAAGGTTAAGAAGTAGAATGACTTGGGCGGAAACGGGTATCAATCATGATAGTGAATGAAAAATAGAGATACAGGACGGATGGATCGTGATGCTGACCACGTTGTATGATCCCTCGCCCCTCAACAGTCACGGACCCTCTTTCGTCTGGTTTACTCCTCGCGATTCACGATTTAACATCCTCGTCACCATCGCTCTCATCGCCGTTGCCATTGGCAGTGTTAGAAGAGTTAGAGGTGTCACTGGGGTGACTAGTGTCGTCGCCGGGCGCCCGAACGCTCAAGTACTCGGCATCGCTATTAGCAGAGTTGCTGAAGTTAGAATTACTAGAAGTAGCGGAAGGAGTGTTCGAAGGATTTCTGTCGCGACTATTGTCGGGGGCCCGAGCGTTCGAGTATTTAACGTCGCTGTTAAGAGGGCCGCTGTGCATGCTAGGTTGACTGACATCGTTGGGGGACCTAGTGTCCAAATAACCAACAAGGTTAGAGCCAAGCCCGCCACGCCTAGCCAAAGCTGCATTGCATGTCAATTTCACAGCCATCAGAGTGACGTATAAGTTCTTACAAGAAAGCTTCATCCCCGATGGTGTAGGATATGCTGCCGCAATAACGATAAAGGAAAGGAGTGCCTTGAAGATGAGTGAGGGCTGCATGACTGTAATCGAGAGGAATGATTATCTGATGTCAAAGTCACAAAGTTTTTATACCTTCAATCACATACGGACGTATCGTAAGAGCCCAGGTCAGGATATTGAACGAATCAATCATGGTTCCGAGCAGTCCTGAGAAGTTCTTCTATGTTATCAATTCAGTTCGGCGTCCAACAACTGGTGTAAACTTCAGTTCCTTCTCTTGCTGTAACAATTGCTTCGACTAGATTCTTGGACGGGGAAACACAACAGCCTGATCGGGTATGATCATAACATCGAACCAGCATGCAGACCACAGCAGCATGAAGGACAGTCATGCCTCATCATGGGTTCGTAAGGCAGCCCTATTACTGTGTTATCAAGTTGGGTGAAGTCACAAATAGGCATGGTACGAACTTTAAGTTCCGGAACTTCCATGTCTTGTTGGAGGCGGTACTCGATGAAAAAGCCCAGCATTCGGATGTGTCATACCTTCTAGTAATGTTCGAATTCGAAGGTGAGCGGCACTTATTAGTAGCTTTGTTTATCTGAATTAAGTTGTGAAAAAAAATGAGTTCAAAATATCGTTAGCACAACGCAGATTGTCTGCCCCGAAGTGAGTACGACTCGTAACAGGTATTACATAATTCAACATGCTTGTCATCTCGTTACTCATCTTCAAATTTTGGCATGCACGCTGCACGGGCCCGGAACAACGAAACATAGTCTTATAGGTAGAACTTGGGAAAGTTCCTATATGCCACATGGTGCCCTGTCACCCAAATAATCACGTGCACGACATCCTCACATTCCGCGACGAAAGGAACATCGCACCTGATGCTACGACACTGTCCATAATACCATGGAAGGACCAATAGAAACAAACAACCTGGGTCATGAACTTGCAAAATCACCGCAGTCAGTGAACCTGACAAAACCCTCGCAAGTTCAATTGATCTAATCTTTATCTAAACCCTTCCCATCGCGATTTCCTTTTGTGCTGACTTGCGCCGTCCTGCCAGATGGCACCAGAAGTACATGTCCAAATCATGTAAATACAAGCGTCACACCAACCACATATAGGATGCAAATGACAAAACATGCCCAACATAGGGAGACTCGGTGATTTCTATGAAGCCCAAAGCGCTTGCCCAAGCGCTAGCGCTCGATCAAATTTAGATTCTAGTCAGTTTCTGTACGGGGAGTCAATTTTTCAGGGTATGCTGATGGTATAGCTTTCATAATGTCGCCTCCGTCACGGTCATTCTACGGACTGAATTTCCCCCCCTCCTTAATTGCCACAACTTTGCCCAGCCGTCGTAGATGACGATGAGGGGAGTATGGTTGCGATCTGCCTGACTCCGTAATTCAGTGCTGTGTGTGTCAAAGTGTCAGACATCTGACGTCTAGCCACTCGCTGATAATGCAGAACAAGGCTTATCTTTGATGGAGCACGCGATTCGGCGCTTACAAGCGTCAAATTCTGCTCATATAAACCGACCCGTAAGCTCGTTCATTGATCGTCTACTTTTGATCAACTTGTTACTCAACAACCTCATTCTTTTCTGCACAACCTCCGTGGTCTATCAAGAGCAAGTGGCGTCCGACACTACCATGGAACAGGCGCAGAAGGCATTGGATAATGCCATAACAAGTTCAAAATCGATGTCAGCTAGAAAGCTCAATAATGTGGACCGGACAGGTTCGTCGTTGTCACTCCACCAGCCACTTAGTATTCATATTATCGTGTCCTCACATAGAGGACTTGGTTGTCCAGACCACTCAAAAAGTTGGATCAGCGCCCACATCGTACGATCAAAATGCTACAGTCATCCAGCAGTTTGCAGCTGACCAGATGGTTGCGGACCTCATGAAGAAGAATATGGGCGGCTTTTATGGAGAGGCAAAGAAGGTGATGGACGCCCTGGATGATCTGCGACAGATCCACCCGTTTGTTAGTGGTGAGTACTCACCTCGTCGATATTACCACCTCAATTAAGATAACTTGCAGTGGCTATAATCGCTTTCAAGGCTGTGGTGAATCTTGAACTGACGCGAAGAGAAAATGATCATACAGTTGGTTTGATGCTCGTAAAGGCATTTGATATGATGAACATTCTTCTTCAGTTCGTCGGTTGATGCCCATCCAATACACCTTTCACTGATTCGGTTTGTTGATAGACTTAAGGACACTAAAGATCCTGACATTGTAGGACCTCGCGGCAGAATTCGGGGTCGACTGGATAGTATCTTGGACCACATCAAGGCGGATGTCGAGACTTGCGGAAATGCCATTGACAAATACTACAAGTTGAAGTTCATAGGTTAGTTTACCCTGAACTCTTGGATGTTTCGGTTTGAGAACCGCATTCCCAGTGAAATTCTTCAGATCATCCCACTGGGCGAGTGAGTTCCTCACGATTAGCGGAAAATTTGCCCATCGTATGCAGGAGCTCCGAGACGCCTTGGCTATCAGGACGGCGTTGGGAGTCGACATCGTGATCAAAAAGCTGGAGGAACTCACCAAGACGCTATGTGAACGGGAAGCGAAGATCGCGAAAGGAGAGCAAATTCGCGGTGAAATGGATCGATCTTTTGAAAGTGAACGCGAAAGGAGATTTGCAAAAGAAGTGGTCCTGCGCGGTGGAATGGATTTACGTTTCGAAAGCGAGGACAAATTAGCAGAGCTAGTGAAAATAGCCAAGCTACAGGAAGAACGTCCACAGAATCAAGCATACTCTGATGATGCTCCATCTAAAGCTGCAACACAGAATTCGACGCTGTCACTCACTGCATCCCAATCGATCGTCAAGCCTCTTTCACAAACCCCATCAGCAAGCGGATCGGTCGCGGGGCGGTACCGCCTTGAAGCCTCGCTGCTTCACGATCTGCGCACTCCTTTAAGCAGCTTACTCGACGAAAATCGCGCGCTCTTCACGTTCAAACTTGATACACAGACAGATTGCATCAGAGGCGCTATCACGGATGCTGAAAAACGCATTATATGGGCCTTCAATAACATATTTTTACGGGTCAAGGATCTGGTAAGGATTATGAAACTCAACCTTATACATCGCTGACTCGGTCAATCTCATCAGCACCTCCAATATATCTGGAAAGAGATGGTATGTCTTTGTGCAGGCGTGATCGAAGTGCATACTTATCGTCATCAAGAAATGGACAACAAGTGTTAAAACATTGTACTTCATCGCGGAACTCCATGACTATTACATGCAGGGTTTCTCCTACCTATATCAAGATGCTACTGCCCTCTCCGACCCCGAAAAAGAAGCTCTTTCAAAAGATGATGACAAATACGTCATTAAGCCTCCTCCAATCGACCCTGCAGACGAGTGGTGCTTGAGATATCTGTCAGTTTTCTACATTCCAAGTTTATCCGACGGCTTCGACGACGATGCAAACGGCTTGGTCAGCATAAGGGAAGTTAACGCCTTTACTTCCGCGATACCTTCGGGCTGGAGTCTAGCTCAAGGACTTGCATACTGTGCTGCAGGTGAGGATTTAAGTCATTGTCGTCAGATCGAACTTGGAGTGTTGATATGAGCAAAGGTTGGAGAGTGGATAGCCACTATTACCACGCACGAATCGAACAGGTGTTGAACAGCATGGTTTATGCACAGGAAGATGTACTTCCAGTAAACAGGACGTGTGTCGGCTTGTACTTGGATTCATATATCATCCATGGTTTGGCGTTTTTCTCACCCTGAATGTGGGCATTTACCCATGTAAACAGGCATCAAACGGCTTGTGCGTTCTCTTGCAGAGCTTGGATCCTGAGGACTCGGACTTAGATCTTGCGCAATTGGTTGATGGATGTCGCAATGTTCGCGAGAAGGAATTGATGAAGAAACTTGACGTTGTGAAATACGAAATCGACTCCAAAGATTCCGTCAAACTTTTCGGATCCGGTCGCATCGAAGATGTGAGTCGTTTGTTCACTCAATGACTGTGCTGAATGCTTGTTCAGTTCTTGCTGCCGGTACTTTACCTCGTTATAAAGAGGCATTTGCAAATCATGAGACTTGCCAGTACAGTAATTCTGGTGGATAGAGAGCTGGAATGTGCTACTCAAACTATAGCCAACATACTAGAAGCGGTGGGTCTACGTGTTGAACAACTGGCAGGTGCGCTCCCAAACCCACAATTGTGACACGCTTTTCCTTCCAATAGAGCAGAATCATTTCGCCAGCAGGGAAACGATCCGAAAGCAAGATTCACGTGGTATGCGCATGGCTTGGTGCGTGGAGACAGCAACAGCGTATTTATTCCTTCCCTAACATTCCGCGACAGTACAACTTTTGGTACAGTCCAGAACGGACCACAGACGACACTGAATATTGGAGAGCCCATGATTTTGGGCTTGATGACACTGAGTTGGAGATTGATGAGACAGCGTTGAAGTTTGGTCCCTTCAGTCCGACGGAGGACAGTAAAATGATAGGAAGGCCTGTCAAATTCGTCGCATTTAATCCTGTTCAGCAGCCTGAAGACACCATGGACGAATATATCCGTTTGCGGTGCATGAATGAACTGTCAAATACGTGGGGCTATGCTGATTTGATCCCGCCTTACCTATCGTCGACCGACAAAGAAAGGCTCTATATCCTGTCCCAAGAGCTACCATCAACAGACGCCGAGCGCTGGAATTCATTCGCTGAACTTCATATGCGCGGACAATTGTTCCAGTGAGTCCATGCTCTGTCTTCTTAAGATTATTAAAATATCTGCCTTTCCGGATGACAGGTGTCAGTGTGATGCATGTCACTACCTTGTCAGTGGTGTCCTTCACCGTTGTGTAGACTGTGACTGCGGTGGGTGTTATGGAGATAACCCTTTCGTGCAAGGCTACTAATCTTATCTTCTTACCTAGACGACTATGATGTGTGTGTAGATTGTGAATCTCAGCCGGTCCCAGATCACAAATACCCATCCGACCACAAGTCAACGCACAACATGCTTGTTTTTCGCATGTCGCTACCTTATAGTCGCTACAACAGAATCCGTTGGTATGCCAGGAAGTTCTTGTCCACTTGCGTGCCCGCTGTAGCACCACAAGAAGTACTATTGACCGCGCAAGAAGACGAATCTCAAACGCAATCAGATGGACCTGAAATTCTGCATCTGATAGAAGGCAATCGAGCAGATGATTCTCTGGCCTCTGTCAATTCGCTGGAAGGCGATGAGAAGCTAAATGGGGACGTAGCATTGGGGGGGATAGCTGGAGCCTCAGTCGCCAATGCCCATGCCTGTGCCGAATGCGGCGTTAAGATGAGGGGCATTTTTTATGTATGCATTACCTGCTCAGGTCAGATTTCTATATGTCTAACAGGGCACAATGCTTAATAATTATCATAGAACTCCATGATGCCATTGCCCTATGCGGTGATTGCGCTTTTCGCGATGCGTTCGACATCGTCACAGATCACCACCCTTACAAGCACTGGCTGGTCAAGATTAAAGACCGGGTTCAGGATGTATGCATAGAAGCATCAGAAGAACCCTTGGCTGATGTGGACGAGACTACTTCGCTTTCTTTACGAGACGATAAGCTGGCTGCGATGGTGGAATCTCGCTTCGTAGAACTGGATCTTCGGCTTAGTGCACTTGTGACACAGGTCGAACAGCTCGTGCATAGCATAGCTGCATTGGCAGGAAAAGCAGAGCTTCCCTCTGAATCTGAATCCGCCACTGTTTGACTGGCTCATAAATTGACAGAGTGTTGTATTTGATCCATGTTGTCTCCCTTGTACTAGTATAGGTTGATCGGTACCGAAATGCTATATGTCCTGAAATAAATACTGGCATGTTTGGTAGCTTCCTCGGGCCTTCATCATTGTGCAGACGAGTGCGTTGTGTAGGCGGTCTTGTGTAGACAATTCACGTAGCGGCGGTGTCCTTTTACATGAAAGACGATGAAAAACTTAGCTCGAAATGGTGTCGTACAAGGCTCAACGTCAACCACGCTCATCATATGACATCAGCTTCATGAAAAAGAGACATGCAATGCATAGAGCAATGTAAACCGTCTCTAATACCCGGCAGAAGAACTCAGTTCTAGTTTGGAAAGGCTAACTACTACAACCGCATAAGCAGAAAAAGGGAACCCCGTAGGTATATGCAGATGTGGTAGTAAGTATGCTCATCTCAGACTTAGTTTGCAAGACTGAGCGGAAATAATATCGTACTGGAGGTTTATCAGAACAGAGAGATATGACGACGTGGACAGAAACGGGTATCGTGGATATACAATAGATATACAGGATGGATGGATCGTGATGCCGACCACGTTATATCATCCCTCGGGAGTCACGAACCCTCTTTTGTCCTAAATGCGAAAAACAAGGAGTCACTATCGGGACCGTAACAGAAATAGAAGGCAGACAGTACCTCTCCTGGATACATGGTTACTCCTCGCGATTCACGATTTAATCCTCGTCGCCATCGCTCTGATCGCCATTGCCGTTGGAAGTGTTAGAAGTGTTGCTGGTATTACTAACGTCGGGGGCCCGGACGCTCAAATAGTCAGCGTCGCTATTGGCAGTATTGCTGGAGTGACTAGTGGTGTCGTCGGGGGCCCGAACGCTCAAGTACCTAGCGTCGCTACTGGCAGTATTGCTAGAGTGACTAGTGTTATCGTCGGGGGCCCGAACGCTCAAGTACTTAGCGTCGTCATTGGCAGAGTTGCTAGAGTGACTAGTGTTGTCGTCGGGGGCCCGAACGCTCAAGTACTTAGCGTCGTCATTGGCAGAGTTGCTCGAGTGACTATCATCATCGCCGGGAGCCCGAGTGTTCAAGTATTCAGCATCACTATTAGCAGTGTTGCTGGAGTGACTCGTGTGACTGGTGTCGTTAGAGCTACCAGAAGTGGTGGAAGGGGTGGTGGAAGGGGTGGTGGGAACGTTGGAAGGATTGCTAGAGTGACTATTGTCTGGGGCCCGAGTGTTCAAGTAGCTAATGTCGCTATTAAGAGGGCCGCTGGGCACGCTAGGTTGACTAACGTCGTTAGGAGCCCGAGTGTTCATGTGGTCAACGTCGCTATTTAGAGGGCCGCTGGGCATGCTAGGTTGACTAACATCGTTGGGGAACCTAGTGTCCAAAGAACCAACAAGGTTAGATCCAAGCCCCTCGCGCTTAGCCAAAGCTGCATTGCATATCAATTCCACACTCATCAACTATAGTGAGGTATAAGTACTTACAAGAAAGTTTCATCCCCGATGGTGTGGGATATGCTGCCGCAATAACGATAAAGGAAAGGAGTGTATTGAAAACAAGTGAGAGCTGCATGACTGTAATCGAGAGGAATGATTACCAGATGTCAGAGAGTCGCGAAGTCTTTATACCTTCGACCACATACGGACGTGTCGTAAGAGTACAGGTCAGAATATTGTGACGAGAATCATGGTTCCGAGCAGTCAGAAGGTTTTCTTCTACGTTGTCATTTCAGTTCCGTGTCTGATGACTGGTATGAGCTTCAAGTTCCTTCTCTTGCTGTAACAATTGCTTCGACTAGGTCCTAACGGGACAACACAGCGGCCTGATACTGCAGCGGCATAAAGGACTCATCACGGGTTCGTAAGGCATCCCTAGTGCTGCATGATAAAGTTAGGTGATGTCACGAATAGGCATGGTACGAACTTCAAGTTCCAGAACTTCCATGTCTTGTTGAAGACGGTACTCGGTGAAAAAGCCCAACGTTAGGATATGACATGCATTCTGGTAATGTTCGAACTCGAAGGTTGGTGACGCTAAGTATTAGTAGGTTCATTTATCTGTGATGCTGCAAGAAGAAAGAATGAGTTCATAAATCACGTTAGGTGTACTTTATAATTACGACGCAAAGATAGTTAAAATGCGATACATGCATTAAAAGCATTGAGGACGTGTTTTGTGAGCTCGGTTTCAGAATGCAACGAGTGATAGTGTATGTTCCATGGTGCCTCGTGCCCATGGTATCAGTCATAGGATATGCCAACAACGCAGACCTAACGAAGTAATTCAGAGACGGGACAATATTTGCTCATCATGATCGAATCTGTTACATAGTCGTCAGTTGTCTCTGCGACTTTGACAATCAAAGATACAGAGGAACAAAGAAGTTCAGGTGCTGATATGCAGTGATGTACAAATTTGAAGATTACCATAAAATTGGTAGAACAGAAGGCAGGGCCGTAACTTTCGCGCGTTTTGAATTCGATAGAGTCCGTCGAGATGAATGATATCTTCCAGTAGTAGGAGCACTCTGATAAATTACAGTGAGGCGTTACGGCGTGAGTGACTTCGACCTTCCTTCGTGTGTTCTTCAACCACTGGCAGCTTCTTCTGCATCTTACATAATGTAAATTTATTACTTCCAACGCATGCGTAACTTTATTCTTCACCTGACTTAAGAAACTGAATAAAACAACTGTTGCCTGGTCCTTCAAAGCTTCACCGGTCACCAATCTGCGTTGGTTCAAGTTGCAGCAAATATTTACTTGCGTCACTTGGATACACAGCCCATTCAAATCGACTCAGTTCTGACGTCGTTAAATATGTTCTTGACCTCGAACACTGGTCCGTGAGTCGACTTCCGTGACTATTACTACTACTACAAATTTTGAAGTCGTTCCTTCGACTTCCTTGCGTTTCCCGGAGTTTCCTGGCGCCCACCCAATGCTTAGCGCCTGAAGTCAACACAGCAGTAAACATTGATTGATGGGACCCACGCTTGCTTCAACTTCTTGTCGCACTCCACTTCGCTTACGGTGATCATTATTCACTATGAACAACGAAAATCAATTGACTCGGAGGGACTTGATGTCAGTTCCTCTCCCAGATATCGAGACATCCAACGAAACAAACGCTGCCGCTGAGCGCCCGGTGCGTGGCTGATGGTTATCAACTTGCGCTCGAATCGCTGACTCTCGTCGATGCATCACTTGTCTAGGGCCGACCCCGTGGCAAAATCTGTCGGTTTCTGGGGAAGGTTACCGAAGGTGTCATCAAAAAGATTTCTGTGAGTCAAAATCAATACTAAGTCTACCGAGATAGGGCTGATATTGTACACAAGTGCTCGAACTTGACTGATTCACGCAGCCACGACCCTGGTCTCCCGATCGTCGATCGTGCAGGTGCCTCATCGATTCCGAATATCGAGGCAGGTCACCTTTTAGTTTATATACACCCTCTCTAAATTCTGTAGGCCACGCATGTTCAGGATGCTCCTCCTCGTGCCGAAACAGGCTCCGATCATCAATCGGCACTTCGAGAGGCCAACGAAGCTGCTAGAAGCATGAATTTACTGTCGGGACCCGTGACGTCTGCAGTTTCAACCGCACAAAATGCACCAACGGATCTCGAGGATGCATGTAATTTAGGGGACACATATCTTCGACCTCTCAAGATATTCGACAGTGTCATCAGAGAGCTCGCGGATGTATGGGCGCATTCCTCTCTTTTGGAACCGAACTAATCATTTTGCATAGGTACATCCTTACGCAAAGGTGGTACTGGGCCTGCTGTCTTCTGCATCCAAAGTATGTATTGTTTCACTCCGAGTCTTATCTCCTGCTCAGCCGTCATGCATACAGGTAGTTCTTACTCAAGCAGATCGAGACCAAGGGATACTCCGGCTTCTGGAGAAGTTAGGTCAAGTCTACAATTTCATGATGCAGGACAAGACTCTTGGCCAAATTCCGTCGATGCAGGGCGTCGTCGGACTGATAGTTCAACAGACTCTCGAGTGCTCCCAGTTCATCAAAGATTACTCCTCGACCAAAAAATTCTGTAAGGATTCTACGACTTTTTATGCTCTACTCGTGCGCTCATTATGACCACTCTACTATCTCTATAGGGACGAGACTCGGGAAAAATGTTTTCTCAGAAGCAGGAAGTACGACTCAACGGTACATCGACGTGTTAGACGCTGCTCATGCAAAGCTTCCGGGACCAAGTTACTCGCGATGTAGAGATATTCGTCCATCGTACAGGTAAGAATTGTACGTGCTTCTGACTCGTCATCAATTCATGCGTCTACAGGCGAGACATTGGACTTTGGCGGCATGACATATGCGGAAGGTGCGGGACTAGATACTGGCAAGCAATGCCTACCAGGGACGCGCACAGAAATGATCTCCGAGATCATGGACTGGATCAACAGCGCCGGAGACAACGTTCAGCGTGTGCTCTGGTTATCCGGCCCTGCAGGCAAGGGCAAGTCGGCCATCGCCCACACAATCGCTAACTGGTTCAACGATGTGGGAGGGCTCGGTTCATGTTATTGCTTCGATCGCCAGCGAGATGCCGACCGCCGTCATGAAAAGATTTTTTCTACAATCGCGCGCGACCTGGCGGACCGTGACCCGGAGATGCGACAAGCATTGGCTGAGGTAGTTAAAGATGCAAGCTCGTTGAAGACTACAGTGGATGTTATTCAACAGTGGGAGAAGCTCTTCATGAAACCACTGGGGAAGCTCTCAGGGTCAATCGTAAGACCTGTGGTCATTGTGATAGATGCACTGGACGAGAGCGGCGGGGCCGAGACACGGCTTCGCATCCTCCGCATTCTTGCGGGGAAGCTAGGTGCGCAACGAATCACCGAACTCCCAGCCAACTTCCGGATCATCGTCACTTCTCGCCCGCTTCGCGACATCGAAGCTGAGCTCTCGGGCGCTCCGCATATTCGACGGATGTCCATGGACGACATTTCATCAGCCACCGCAGAGCGCGACATCCGCACTTACGTATCGAAGGAATTGGAAGGGCTCGGAGATTTTGGGGACAGAGAATTTCAAACCCTTGCTGAAAAAGCTGATGGACTTTTTGAGTGGGCGCGTCTTGCCTGCAGATACATCAAAGAGCCCATTCTTGGATCATCACCAATCGCTTGCTTCGACACTGTTGTGTCGCGGGATCCTGCCGAGAGAAGCATGCTGTTGTACGAAATGTATCACCTCATCTTGACGCAGATCATGCCCAAGGATAAGTCTACGAGTTTCCAGCATCCACAGAAACTGTGCTCAACGGCGCTTGCAAACTTTCACTCCGTGATGGGTCAAATACTGGGTACAGCTGAACCCATCCCTTTGGTTTCTCTGAACGCCATGAGGCGCCACTTTCCAGAGAAACGTGACCGTTATGAAGTGGAAGTCGTAGTAAAAGGACTGGGACCCCTCCTCAGCGGCACCACCGACTCGTCCACCCCCATCCGACCCCTTCATGCCTCCTTCCGCGATTTCCTCACAGACCGTGAATGCAGCGGAGAGTTCTTCGTCGATGTGTCGAAGGTACAGCGAGACCTTGCTGTCGCATCACTTCGAGTGATGGAACATGGACTTTCATTCAATATCTGCGATCTAAAATCGTCTTATCTCCCCAACTCCAAAAATCCCGGGCTGCGAGAACGAGTTAAAAAATGCATATCCTCACATCTATCCTATGCCTGCCGATTCTGGCCTGTCCACGTACAAGCAACTGACTTTGATCCGGATCTCGCCAAAGAAATTAAATTATTTTTCGCCCATGAACGACTGTTCTTCTGGCTGGAGGTGCTCTGCCTTATCAATGCGCTGAGCAAGGCAGTCCCCGTACTTCCGCTTATTGCCAAGTGGTTGAAGGTGAGGTTATTGGACGTTGAATAACATGCTAAACAATGCTAAATTATAATCACAGGGTCAGACCGGCTATGAAGATGCCTCGTCCGCTGCAATGGACGTGCAGAGATTTATTCAAGTCTTTGGCGGCATGATCTTGCACAGCACACCTCACCTCTATGTGTCAGCACTGCCATTCTCGCCCGTCAAGTCTGCGCCATCCAAAACGTTTTCTGCGCGGTTTCCTGACTCTCTTCGTGTGGCATCCGGACATGATATCAACTGGACGGCTGTTCAGACTGTGATCAGTGGGCACACTGATGAGGTTAACTCAGTCTCGTTCTCGCCGGATGGGACTCGCATTGCGACTGGATCGGATGATCGTACTGTGCGACTCTGGGATGCAGTAACGGGGAAGCCAGTAGGCGAGCCCTTGCTGGGGCACACTCGCTTAGTTAGCTCAGTGTCGTTTTCGCCCGATGGGACATGCATTGTGTCTGGCTCATACGATGAAACTGTCCGGCTGTGGGATGTAGCAACATGTCAGCCCATTGGTGAACCCTTATTGGGGCATACTTCGTCGGTTTACTCAGTCGCATTCTCGCCGAACGGAACTCGCATCGCGACATGTTCGGTAGATAACACTATTCGACTGTGGGATGCAGCAACGCGGCAGCCAGTTGGTGAACCCTTACAGGGGCACACTCGTTCGGTCAACTCAGTGTCGTTCTCGCGGGATGGAACTCGCATCGTTTCTGGTTCAGACGACAAGACTGTCCGGCTGTGGGAAGCTGCAACAGGGCAACTGGCTGGTGAGCCCTTTCTGGGACACACTGATTGCGTTAACTCAGTTTCGTTCTCTCCGGATGGGACTCGTATCGTATCTGGTTCGGACGATGGGACTGTTCGGCTGTGGGATGTGGCGACGGGGAAGCCTGTCTGCGAGCCCTCGGAGGGGCACACTGATGATGTTCGTTCAGTTTCGTTCTCGCCGGATGGGAGCTGCATCGTGACAGGTTCGGATGATCAAACCGTTCGTCTGTGGGATGCTGCAACAGGGCAGCCAGTCGGTGAGCCCTTGCTGGGGCACACTGATTGGGTCATATCAGTCTCGTTCTCTCCGGATGGGACTCGCATTGCGAGTGGTTCTGCGGATCACACCATCCGACTGTGGGATGCAGCTACGGGGCAGCCAGTTGATCAGCCCTTGCAAGGGCACACCAATTCGATTACCTCAGTCTCGCTATCGCCAAATGGGACCCACTTCGCGACTGGTTCTGAGGATGGCACTGTCCAGCTGTTGGATTCAGCGACAGGGCAGTCAGTCGGGGAGCCTTTGCTGGGGCACACGGCAAGAGTTTACTCAGTCTCGTTCTCTCCGGATGGGACCCGCATCACAACTGGTTCTGCAGATAAGACTGTCCGGGTGTGGGATTTGGCGACGGGGAAGCCTATCTATGAGCCCTTGGAGGAGCACACTGATTGGGTGAGGTCAGTCTCGTTCTCGCCGGAGGGAAGTCGCATCGTGTCATGTTCGGATGATAAAACCATCCGGCTGTGGGATGCAGGAACGGGTCAGCCAGTCGGTCAGCCCTTGCTTGGCCACGCTGCAGAAGTTACATCTGTCTCATTTTCGCCGGATGGGACTCGCATCGTTTCTGGTTCAAGCGATAAAACAATCCGGCTGTGGGATGCAGGAACGGGGCAGCCAATTGGTTGCCCATTGCTGGGGCACACTAATTATGTTTATTCAGTCTCCTTCTCACCGGATGGTACTCGCATCGTTTCTGGTTCCGGTGATAGGACTGTCAGGCTGTGGGATGCAAGAACGGGAATGCCAGTTGGTGAGCCCTTGAAGGGGCACACTGGATCGGTCTACTCAGTATCGTTCTCACCAGATGGGACTCGCATTGCTTCCGGTTCGAGCGATAGAAGGATCCGGCTGTGGGATGTAGGGACGGGGCAGCCAATTGGTTGCCCATTGCTGGGGCACATTGCCTGGGTCAGATCCGTCTTGTTCTCGCCAGATGGCACTCGCATCATTTCTTGCTCATGGGATGGGACTGTTCGTGTCTGGTATGCAATGGTTGCGAAGTCATTGCAGGACCGTGCCGAAGAAGATTGTTCAACATCCTCCCCGCACGGCAGTTGCATCCCACATCCCACAGCGGCCATCCGCACACCCAACACTGCTAACGATGACTTCATTTGCTTCTCATCCAACTCGACTCATGCCCTGCGCGACACTACTGAACTACTTGAGGGTGCCCCCCATGATGACCACAGATCGACGTTTGATTTTCTTGGAGACGATGGATGGATGACGGGACCCAATGGTCGGCTCTTATTCTGGGTACCACCCGCTTCAAGAGATGAATTTAGATATAATCCTGAAACTGCATTGGTGTTACCCAGAGGTGGTGTTGAGCTTGATTTGAGTAGCATGGCCCATGGGACACGCTGGCAGCGCTGCTATGAGGAGTGAGTCTGCAGTGTTTTCTGTTGCTTACAGTTAATTAATTTGATCCTTGTAGCTCTTGATCGTAGCTCTGATCTCGTTCTGGTAAATTGATTTGCAGACTGAAACAATTCAAGGAGTACGATATGGACTGTGCAGTTAATCCATTGTATATTATACCGTAGCATTGGATTCGAGTTTGTGGTAGTACCTCTGAGCGAACGACGTTTTAACTGGGTGACAGATTTTTCAGAGCCACCTAGAATAATGGTAGGGCAGCAAACGTGCTCAGATATGCGGTCGAGCGAAAGTGTGTTCGAGGCCGCCGCCTCACAATGTTGGAGTGAAGAAACTAAAGAATATGGTGGTGGCAGCGGGGAAGTGTTTGGATATTGCAGGTTCATCTGGCTTTGGTTGCACAAGGATTTGAATGTTGAGAGAACTGGATCAATGTGGCTGATTGCGTACAGTACAATATGTGTATGGTGACAAAAATGATGAGAATGACGGGTGCAAGGATATTGGAATGTGAGGCGTGGAAGAACTTGAATAACGACGAAAATGAACGAGCTTCACCAGGGAAGTGCAATGCAGAAAGCAATAATCAGAGGCGACTTTTCATGAAGAAGTCATTCTTGGCACAGACGTACCAAATTATCCTAGTACCACTGCAATGGGCCTGTCCTCCTTGCAAGATAACCGGTTGGGTTGGGAAAAGGGGATGACTGGATGACTGGAAGAAGCAGTTGGGAGTAGCTTCGGGCTCGTCTACATTCAATTGTAATTTCTATGGGGACTCTGCGATAAGTGGATCGTTTGAGTGGTGGTGACATATTCCATGGTCAAGGTCAATTCTTGCAAGACGCTACTAGATGGCCCGGCTCATCATTGAATCGTGACACGATAAAATAACGTGAGGTTCGAAGAAGGGGAATTCCATAAATCCAGGCTTGGGTGAAAGAGTCATTTGAGCCAAGTGACAGCCGAAGCTGAGCAAAATTACGTAACTACCAAGCGACTCAGCAGATAAACCCCTACGTGGGCAGAGAGAGAAGTTCTATATCAATATACCGCGGAAACTGATGCTTCCTGTGGATAGTACTTGCACTGGGTGATAAGGGAAATAGGTATGGTGTGAATATCCGATAAACCCGTGTTGATCGTTCGCTTGCGCTTGCCTCATGCATATGATGATACACCATGCTTCCGTCAACACCCTCCTCCACTCGTCACTCAACCTGTCTCTTCACCATCTGAAATAAAATTCGTTACATCATACGATTCTAAAGACGTCCAGTTGATTTTTTTTTTTCCATTTGTACAATGACCTCTACCTTTGAACGTCGAACACCGGGTATTTGTCATTTTAGGGAGGGGGAACGTGGTCTTACTCGATTCTCAATCTTACGTCTTCTTCTCAAGCCTGGTATTTACCGTCTTAACTCAGTAGGTCCGTGACGTATTCTGGATGGCAGCGCACCTTCCGAGTCGGCGTTCAAACGTTCACTAGCCGGTGATGCATGCTGGACGATACTAAATTTATTAATCCATGAAACTTCTTTCCACGTCTTTACCCTCGCACCGTAGGGCCCGCAAGCTATTATAAATCTCGTAGCACTCACCGATATTCCATTGAACCCCAGGCGATTTCGTTCGCACACGACCAAAAGATCAGATGAAACAAACAGTGTTCTGGCGACCGCTAGCAAGACAAGACATGGAGCAACGTAGTGAAATCCCTAAGTTCATCAAATACCAAAAAAAACTAACAACACAACAAATCACAGCCTGTACGAGATATTCTGTTTGTGAACGTGTTGTGAGCGTGCAGATGTACGTACTGGGAATCAAATGCGCTAAGACAAACCTGCCATCCGTAGTTCAGACTCGAGAAATTCTTCTATTTCCTCGATAGTTAGACGACTGGTAGGAGACCAACATCTTTGAATAAAACTCCACTGTAAATTAGTGACAAACGTTTCCTGAGGACGTTTGGGCTTTACGCCTCTCGAAGATAATACAAGGACACGAATGTTATCCTTGATATCGTGATAAGGTATCATTCCTGTGAGCAACTAAGTCGCAAAATGGTAAGCGGGAGATGCTACGAGGAGATGATGTACCATACCTGTAGAATGATACTACCTATTGAATAGATGTCGGTCTGCTTCGTTGGGACGTATGGATTGATTTCGCCTTTCTGCGCCTCGAATAACTGAGGGTCAGTCCATCGCACAGCTGAGCGGATGCCTCCAGATGGCTGTGCCAAAGTTGGGATTTCCGCGAGCAATGGCATGACTCCGAAGTCGCATAATTGCGCTCTACCCTCATAGTCCACCAGGATATTGAGCTAGACGAGTATTAGCGAACAATACTTCTAGGGACAGCGATCTTACTCCAGAGATATCTCCATGCACAATAGAATGAGCGTGCACTACATTTGAAATCAATGAAAGCCATTGTCACAACAACTGAGAAAAAACACTAACAATAGCCAAGGCCAGCTACTACCTGTTTGGCCTAAGGCCGCACAGATGCAGAGTGAGAAATATTATTTCCGACCAAAAGGCTACTTACGAGATCCAACTTGCACCCTAGTGACAAATGATGACTAGCAATGTAGTCATTCAACGATCCCTCGTTCACCCATGGTGTCACCAATGACGGAAAGTGCCCAAAATCGTGTGCAATTCCATATATTGGCAGAACGTTTTTGTGAAGTAATCGCGCCCAAGATGATATTTTACCCATCAGTTTCTGAGTCATCCGTAAGCAGGTTTTCTTGGGTACGAATGAATGAAAGAACAGACTTGGCAGTGCTTATGTTTCTCATCCTCGTTCGAAAATGGAATTTTCAGCGACTTGACCGCAACCTTGAAACATCATTTGTAGTTTGAGGATCCTAATATGTAAGATGCACTCACATCACGTTTTTGCTTGCCACGATACCACGTTGATCGCCAGACGTCACTATACGTACCCGACAACGTTGGGTATATTTCGCGACGAACAATTTGCCTGGTGAGATCAGTAACGGAGTCGCACTGAGATTCTGCCGCAGAATCATGCTGAAAATTGGCCGGGGTGATTGGTGTCCACCCGCAAGATTCAAATGATGGATTTATAGAGCTGTTGTAAATTTCAGTCAATAAACTCTGAAGGAAGTAATATGTGTACTCAGGAACATCAGTGTTGTGACCTTTCCTCAGGACAGTCCATGAGTTTGAGACGAGTGGACTGGGAACGACGCCTTGCGGATTGGGGTGCGAGAGAGCCATGGGTGCTATTTCTCGGTATGACCATCGAATGAATGTCAAAGGTAACTTCACCACTAGCCCGAAATATGCAAGCAGATCAGAAATGCCGGAGCCCTGTTGAGGGGCTGTCGGGGCATGGTCCAACGCATTGTTAGACATAACTTCTGACCACTGACCCAGCACCAGGATGTGGATATTAGAAGTTAGACGCTGAATGCAGACGGTATTCATACCTTTCGACGGTATGCTATAAATGCAGCAAGGAAGCCTCGTGAAGCATAATTTCAAACGCGTTCCTTAGTTTACAAAGTCACAGTTATCACGATATGCACAACCACCCCACCTGTGTGCGTTGGATGTGCACCATGCTGTAAAAACTTCCTGTCACTGATTATCTGTACAAGCCCCCAAAGTTAGCCCAGCCGCAGTGAACTGGAGGGAATTGAATGTAAGTACATCCACACTATCGTCTCATACAGCTGGGCAAATTCCCAGAGCGGTGAGCGAGCTTCGGATAATCCACATGCACGAGGTGTATTGGCTCAGCAATTAAGAGATACTATTGGCATTGGCAGTACGTTGTGAAGTTATATCGGGTGTTGATGCTGATGGCAAACTTTGTTCTAAAGTTCTGTGGTAATTCTTGCGTATGACTCGGCCTCGAGGTCTGTAGAAGATTGATCGCAGAGTGAGAAGGCAATTGATTTCCGTACGTATTATGAAAACCAGACCGACTACAGGTGTGATTTGTCATAAACCTTGGTACACAGAACAAACTTGGGTTTGATCAGCTTACCTGCGCTTTGACCGGTATCTAAAGACTCACCGGAGAAGACACCACTGTTCTAGTATCAACTGTGCTTCTCGCGGAATAAAGACGCACTTTTACTGAAAGAATTTTCCTCGAAGTTTCCCGAAGGATTGTGGCAGAACGTAGTAAGGGTGGGACAAGTTCATCGGCAAGCTGTAACTGCTGTTGAAACTGAAGTTACTGAATGGTGCACTGCCTATTCAATCGCCGCGAAGTGCGGACCTGGAAAAGACGCTGGTGTCCTGATTGATTGCGGTATTTGAATGCTATTCTTGGAAGAAGCTTAGGATACTTACCACTGCCAGGCCACCTGATCGATCAGATATTATCGATAATCGATGACGGACAAGGGCACACACAAAACCCACTGACTTACCAGCGCTCGTCACGGCGGTTCCGCGAACATCCGAACATCGGAGTATCAGACCTCAGTAGAGTGCTATTGCGTACTCGTATGGCCCGGGTACTATGTATGGTATGTCACAGCTACCAGACTTAAATCCACGAAGACCGACTCGGACTTCACAGCATAAGAGGGGTGTTTAAACCTGCTTGCCGGGTACATGACAAGTGTCCATGTCTAGCCTGTAGGTATTACGTTGTTCGCGGAGAAGCACTGGTCGGCCACTAGACAGCACCGAGTTGTACTCCCTGGAGTTTCGTCTGAGCTGTTCTTGTGATACGAGAAACTATCAAACTTCTGGTGAAGTTAACAGCATTGTGAGTGCTCGTGTCAACACTATTGCAGGAAGACCACTCGATATTACAAGGGTCTACCAGTTGAACTCCGCAAACCTACTTCAAACTTACGATTACCTGCCACAGGGAATTCATTAATTTGGGCTCAGCCGCCGTGAATAGGTGGATGGTCACCTGGTGTTGTGGAGGAATTACAGCCAATATTGCAGGTTCTGGCAGGTCAGAAGACTCGCAAATGAGTGCTCGTGCTAATATGTCATGGCAAGTTTATGCTCATGGTTTACTTCTGTGAAATTTGCAAGATGCTCCCAATCCAATAAATATGAGTTCGTTCTCCACTTGCTGTAGCTCCTGACACTTTCCATTCTCGAAAGATCTATCCACTCTTCTCTTCGTTGCTGTTCCAGCATAATGTCACGACCAGCTGCGGAGGATTCACAATCCGACAGCAAGTAGTCTTCTACCTGGTGGATCAAACGTTGATGACAAATGATTAGGAACTGACTGGATGAAACGGCTGCGCATTAATTGCTCGCAGTCTATCTCACGCTTCATCAGTCAGAGTGCCACTTCAGTGAGCACTTGCTTATCAATGGGCGTCTTGCAGTCATTGACCGAATTCTGTGTACTGTAGGGCAATGACTCTGACGAATCAAAAAATGTCCCGGATCTTACGACGAGTGGCACTGACTCTGAATCGCCTTGTATTGTTTCGCCCTTTGGGTCGCTTTCAAGTTTCGAGGACCTTGCACCTTCGGTAGCATGCGAAGACCCTTACTGCGAGGGTGATCTTCGTTCATCACCAACGCAACCTTACCCAAAAATGTATGTATATTCCCTCCAAAACATACAGTGCTTTGAGCTGAGACTGGACATCTTCATTCCAGAGATGTTGACCTCAAAAAATACTGCGAGGAACCTGAGGATCTCACGGCTTATATTTTACGCACCGAGAATTACCCCCGCAGTAGTGGCGGATTCGGCAGCGTCTGGAAGTGCAAATTGAAAAGTTCCTTCCTCCGGAACGGTATCATAGTTCGTTCATTAATTGAGTTTTTTTTCAAAGGATTAGCTTAATCCCAATAGATACACCCGCGAAACGTCGCAGTCAAGGCTTTCAGAGTGCCATCAAGAAAGTCAGAAGACATGAAAAAATTGATCAAGGTTAGTTCTCGTGTAGTCAATGTATGGGGCATCTACCATCGCTTTCCAGAAACTACGTCAGGAAGTCTTTGTTTGGCAACAGCTGGAACACTCGCACATACTGCCTCTGTATGGCACTACGGACGACTTTGAAGTTGTCCCGGCACTAGTGTGTCCATGGATGGAAAACGGTTCTCTCCATGAATATCTGGATATAATATGGAGTGAGCAGTTACCGCCCGAAGCACATAGCCTCTTTCTTCTTGTGAGCATTTCTTATCTATATCTTATGAGCGCACCCTCAGACCAGTTGAAATACAGCTCTTCCAAGTTGTTTCAGGTCTGCAGTATCGTGAGTGAATTTAGTTGTGGCTATGTGACCTCATTTGGACGATACACCATGAATCAGTGCATTCTAAAAACATTATACACGGAGACCTTATGCCTGTATGTCACAATTTTTCACTAGTCAGTCCGCGTTACTCATAAAATTTTAGCCTAATGTTCTGATCGACGAGAACGGGAACGCCCTCCTTGCGGACTTTGGCCTGTCGCGCCTGCTGGCAGATCACGAGACATCTTTCTTCGCATCTAACAGATCAGGCGCAATTCGTTGGGCTGCTCCTGAAATTATACCGCTTGATACTGAAAAGCCCAACGAAGTTGTTGAGCCAAATAAGGCGAGCGACATCTATTCATTTGGTTGCATTATGATGCAGGTAACGGAGACCCTCTTATCTGTAGCGAATGAATGATTCTGAATATTTTGTTAGGTGCTCTCTGGCTGCCCCCCGTACTTCGACATGAAGTTGGAGCCTCCTGTTATTGTGGCCAAATCTCAAGGCAATTCGTCAAAACGACCCGAACAGCCTGCAATTTCTGACATTTATTGGCGCTATATTGAACGATGTTGGTCGACACAGATCAAGACGCGGCCCTCGGTTGATCAAGTTCTGGACTATATAAAGGCAGAATACGACAGACATAGGTTATTTTCAAACTAAGTTAGGTGTTCCTGCCAGCGATACAAACGAGTTGATCTCGAATACCACATTTTCTCGTGTCCTTGCAGTCGCAACGCATGTTGTATCTATTCCATCATGACACAGTCTGGTACTACGTACTATCGCATCCTCCTGACTCCGCGACATTCAAGTCGTTAATGCAAATTGCAATATCATTCGGTTCCGCCCTCAATTTGCAAAGACTCGACTCTCGTTGACTCATACCCCACTGCTTGCTGTACAGAACGGTGACGAGAGCTCTCAGGTAGTCGAGTCATCGTGACTGACCAAGTCAGAATGTCACAGCCAGTCTGGCAGTTTATAAGCGCAGGCTATAGTGTCAATATGATATATCATATTACTGTGATTGAAGTAAATTCGTGATATATCCCTGCCGTCGAGCTAACACACAAGGCAATGATATATCACTCACAGTGCGCTGATATATCACCTGTTGCACCATTGCTATTGCGCATTTGGCTGCGCTATTCTTAGCCTGTGTGGTACCTGCGCAGGTCAGATTCCCATATGTCTAACAGGGCACAACGCTTAATAAACATCATAGAACTCTATTCCCCAATTGGCCTATGTGGTGATTGTGCCTTTCGTGATGCGTTCAACGTGGTCACAGATCACCACCTATCACCACCCTTATAAGCACTGGCTGGTCAAGATTAAGGAAACAAACCTTTGGCTTACATGGATGAGACTACTTTGCTTTCCTCAAGAGTCGATAAGCTGGCCGCAATGGTGGAATCTCGCTTCAGTGCACTTGTGACACAGGTCGAACAGCTCGTGCATAGTATAGCTGCATTGGCAGGAAAAGCAGAGCTTCCCTCAGAATCTAAATTCGTCATTGTTTGATTGGCTCATAAATTGGCCAACCTAGTATAGATCAATCAGTATCGAAATTCTATATGTCCTGAATTAAACATACATATTACAGTGACATATTTCCATATTATATGGCAGGCTATACTGTCAGATTGAAGCTTAAAGGTATGTGATAAGACATACACCTTGATGCACAATGTGTCTAGTTCCTTGATGTCTGTAGCTTGATGCTTCATGAAGCATCAAGCTACAGACATCAGGAACAATGCCCATTTATCTGTAGCTTGAAGCATCAAGCTACAGACATCACATCAGGAAATTCTCACATTCCTTAATCTCCTTAATCAGCTTAACCTACTTATCTGAAAACTTGTTTGCTCTCTCTCACATTATTTACCTGGCATATTTCATATTTCTCTAGTGTGAAGCATAATAAAACATATATATCAATATACCTCAACATTTCCTTTCTGAATATATTCAAGTTGAAATGTTGGACAAGTAGATCCACCTTTCAACAAGACACTTAAGTGTATTAAGTCTGTTTAAGGACAAATAAAGTAATGTGAGAATTTCCTGATGCAGGAACAATGCCCATTTTGAACAGGTACGCCGCCTACCTAGCTTCTTTGCATCTCTGCACTGAAGCTTCACACTTTCCCACGATGCCTCATTTCGCCCAATTTGGGCAGGTACGCCTTCCTGGCTTCTTTGCTGCATCTCTCACTGCAGCGCTGAAGCTTCACACTCTCCCATGATGCTTTGTTTCACCCATTTTGAGCAGGTATGTCCTTCCTGGCTGCTTTGTGTCTCTGTGTTGAAGCATCATGCTTTCCCATGATGCTTCAGATCTTTTGTTTCGCTCATTTTGGACAGGTACACCCAATTTTGAGCAGGTACGTCCTTCCCGGCTGCTTTGTGTCTCTACGTTGAAGCATCATGCTTTCCCACGATGCTTCAGATCTTTTGTTTCACTCATTTTGAACAGGTACACCCCTTCCCAGATCTTTTGATTCACCCTATTTAGCAGGTACATCCCTCCCTGGGTTCTTACCTCCATTCGTGGCTTCCATCCTCGGCTTTTTCAGGCTTATTGCCTTCATCCCCGGCCTTTCCCCCCCTTCTCCACAGTTCTTGATCCGTCTAGCCAATTAATTTGATGCTAATGATTGAGATTAGATACGCTGTAGTGTATACCATGTTTATATGATTTTTCTCACTAAGTCTGTCACTGTGACACCGAATGAGAATCAGGATTCACCATTACTACTTGAAATTTCACTAAGTCCTGTCCATAGTATGTACAAATGCATATACAGCGCTGTGCACATGAAATGTTGTCAAGTTCAGTATGTATATACAAGTTCAGCACTATGCATGTGATTCACAATGAACTTACTTGTGCACATGAAATTTTCACTAAGTCAGACGCTGAAAATACTCTCATATTTGTAGGTAAGGAATCAATGTGTATTAATGAGTCAATGGTGCCCCGAAAGGGTATTACAATACATGCAGTATGTATGGACTAATATAATGAAAGCATCGCTACAAAATATTGATGGGCAAGCAACTCAGGCGCTGGATTTACATTTCCTGTCATAATATTAGCACTGTCCAAGTCCAACGGTGACAATAAAAGTACATACTTCTTTTGAGTGACGTTCTCCACCTCGCCTGTCCTGAGTCTCTTCGCACTCCTGCCTATCATGTTTGCTTGTGCCATGCATGTTGACTCCTGGCGAACCCGACCTGTCTTCTGGAGAGGTATATTGACTGAGGGAGATGGGTTAGTAGAAGGTTGGGAAGGTCGCGGATGGGTAAGTGCTGCTGGGGTAGGCTCTGCTGGGGTAGGTGCTGCTGAGGTAGGTGCTGCTGAGGTAGGTGCTGCTGGGGTAGGTGCTGCTGGGGTAGGTGCTGCTGAGGTAGGTGCTGCTGGGGTAGGTGCTGCTAGAGTAGATGTAGGTGCTGCTGAGGTAGGTGCTGCTGGGGTAGGTGCTGCTAGAGTAGATGTAGGTGCTGCTGAGGTAGGTGCTGCTGAGGTAGGTGCTGCTGGGGTAGGTGCTGCTAGAGTAGATACATCATGGACTGCAGTAGCAGCGAGATGAACAACTTCATCAGGGAATCAATTGGTTACCATGGGGAGAGGAACATCGTGGACTGCAGTAGTAGCAGCAGGATGGGCGACTTCGTCAGAGAGATGACTGGTTACCATGGGGAGAGGAACTGGAACTTCCTGTGTGATGCCAGGAGTGGTGAAAGAACAACTGTCAAAGTTGAACGTTGGCACTGTCAAAGGCGCAGTGGGAGATGTTGTCAGCGTCAAATTACTCATTGGATTCCAGAATTTGGACTCCTTCCTCCACGATGTGATGGGAGTATCAGGCAAAGGAGGTGCCAAAGGAGGTACCAATGACATTGATGGAAATGCAGGGAGTGTGGGTGTTTGAGGCCGAGGTAACAATGACAAGGGTGGTTGGCTGAAAATGCTGGGATCAAAATCCCAAGAGTATGAGTCGTTGAGTCCTTGTGAGCTGATGCAAGAGGGCCCTGGCAAGTCAAAGGGCAGCAGGCTTTTGGGGACTCTCATCGGGGTCACTGCAGGCAATGAGAGAGCCGCCTGCAATGAGGTGCTCACATCCGACATCGTCGGGCCCTCAAAGGAATTCTCTTCTTGTTCCGCAGGGGGCATGTAGTCCAACACATGCTTCTTCCTGTCGTCCTCGGCTGTACATTTCATTAGTAGATACATCTTCAAAAGAAAGAAAAATACATACTAAAAACTGTCCCAAGATAGCTCAGGTATGGGTTGAGATGCTTGTCTGTGAAATTCGAAGTCGCCTGCTTCCACGTAAGGCCAGCTTGATTCATGCCTGTGTGGTAGCTAAAAACAATTAGCATTAAGAATGGGGAATATACATATCAGAACCTACATACCTCAATACATTAAGCATGCCTCCAAGGCAAGGATTGGGGCCTCCACCAATGACTGTCCACTCCCAACCTGTTAGTTGTCTCACCGCATCAAAAAATTGTGATATTGGGCTGATACACTCCTCTAGCACCCTGATTAATATGATAGTATGAGCAAGACATAGAAACAGACCAATTTCACTCACTTTGCATACTGCGCGTTGGTAGGTGTTCTGGTTGCTGCAGCTTCGGAGAGGATAGTAGAAGCCTTGGCTTCACGTTCTTCGGCAGCCTTCGCCTTCCATAATAACTGAATTTCTAACGGCGCGGCCTCATATGCCGCTTTTGTTGACTCCCTGACTGCCATCAATTTCTCGTTCTTAGTTACGAGCAAGCCGCACTTGATTTTCTCCTTGATCTGTGACCGTACAGCAGCATTGTAGTTCATTTTGGAAAATATTTCCACCTCAGTATGGACCCGGGTTCCTTTTGCCTTGTTGCCGATCATCTTGGTAATTGATTTCGTCATTGTGTTGAGTTGCGACCGACCACTTTTGCGAGATCTATAATTGAACCAATTTTTAAGTTGCTGTTTGAAATTGTTTTTGAAATGAGCGTTTCTTTGAGTCAAAAATCAAATTCATCGTTATTAACCTTCTTGCACGCCTCAACTGCCTTTCCCAGTTCCATATTCTCAGCCTCACTAAGCTCCGAAGGTGACTTGTCTGGGTGCAGCACGTTGATTTCAGGCCATCGCTGTAAGAACTCCATGCTAATGTTAGACCAGAAATTTAATAAAGTACCCTGAAGCTGCTGTTTCAGGAACTCGCTGAATTGAGACTCAAGGTAATCTCTTTGTTCAGCGCTTGTCCAGTGAGATCCAACCATCTGTCAATGGTAGTGTGATCAATGACAGCATATTAATATTGAAGGTGTGCTGTCACCGCTTACCTTGTCTTTTTTTGGTCTGCGTCCGGTTAGTCGGCTAGAAGGCTTTAGAGTGCTGTGATTGATCTCAGCAACTGAATGGGATGATTTTAGACATCACTTACTTTTGTTTTGCTTCTGGCTGTAAGATTTTCACGTAGTTCAGGTGTGGCTGACCAAACTAAACATACAGTCAAGCCTCAAAATAAGGTTCAGCCATCTATGAAGGACCAATCATGTTCCTTTATTTGTATAGTACATCGTGTTGGAGTTATATTTCATATCGTATATATATAAACCATGACAAACCCAAAATGAAAAGCTACTGCTGTCAAGACGTCAAAGCCTCACCCCCATTTAGCAGTAACACATATTCATTTTCAAATGAGTGATTCAACTTGTACTTGTATGGTCTGCATCCAGCCGTGCACTCCATCCTCGGTGGAATGACTAACCTTCACCATAAACGAGCTTGCTGCTGCTCTGCAACTGATCAGAGACCAGGACAGTGAGTAAATTTTGATTGTTTTCCTTGATACTCAATGTTCCATATTATCTACACAGAAATCTTCCAGGCACACAACAACCCTGCTGCCAAACTCAACTCTGCTGCCAAACTGCCTTCTCCTGCCACAAATGGTTGCCCTGCTTGCATTTTCCGTGCCCACCGCCACCAGTGTTATGTCTGCCGTGCTGAAATTCATGGTGAACCTTGCAAAACTGAATCTCAGCCTGGTACCACTGGTGAGTGATTTCCTCTTCATGAAGTTCTGATCCTGATTTTTCATTTTAGCACGTACACCCACTACACAGAATGGTGGATCATCTCCCAGCAGCGCTATTGTAGTAGAATGATTTATTGTTTGACCTATGTGTACCTACGTACCTACTGGGTTTGATTAGTTTACATATATCCATGTCACTTTCTTGTCAACTTGTCAATGCTATCAATTGTTGCTACCACTGATAATTTGCAATTGAGTTAAAAATAATGAATCTGGGGCTGTATCATAATTTGCAATTGAGTCTGTTCAAAAAATGAATCCGGGGCTGTATCACTATAAGCATGTTGCTACTGCCAATACTTAATTTGTGACTAGCTTGAATTCAACAAATATACATGATGGGCTATTTAACGAGAGGAATAATGACAATGATAACATCATCCACACTGCCGTGGCTGAGAGTATTTGTTGAGTAAATGTGCAGTTTTATGTGTCCTGAAGTGCTTGTGCGCTCAGTAATGAATGCTTTTAGCCCTAAGTCTGACTATGGAGTAATGGAAGTCACATGCCTGGCCATACTCTTTCGTACTCTTTCATCGACCACAAGCACTGTTATAGTCTACAATACTCAAGTCATTACACTCCTCCCTGGAATTTCTTTTTCGACTTCATGCCACTGAAGTATAAGAACGAGCAACAATGTCACAATGCCCGACTGGAATCTAAGCGCAGGTGTTATGAAAGGTAAGCCTCCAAGTCTAAATTTCAGTATGACATGGATTACAATTTGTCGCATTTCACGTAGGCACAAGCTTGATGAGCGCTTGAAATCTAGGACTCATTGGCGCAAGCATCTGGGAGCTACTGTGGTGTGTACACCATATACTATCAAATTTACATTTTACACTGACCGGATGAACCATGAGACAGGCTACCCAACATTTTATAGCACGACTAGATTTGATATGGCTCAATCTTGGCTATCAGCCAGGCCATTCTCAATACACTGTTCTCCAGTCACAGGGCCTCACACTTGTCCACAAAGTGGATGACGAAGGTTGGCAGGTTGTAAGGCCAACTTATGAATGCATAGTAGCAGAGGCGCAAGAACTTCTTTCAGAGGCTAGGGAGGTGCTTGCAGGCGCATTACATGCAGAAGGTACATGTACATGCCATCTGATCTCAAAGTCTGCAGCCGCTGTTGACATAGTGGAGCTGCATTGCGATGCATGGGACAAAGCACTCTCATTGATGGATGATAGCGCAGATATGTACTTTGAAGCTCTCATGTCTGATCAGTTGGTGTGGCAGAAGGCATTAAAATTATAACTAACAGATATTAGCGTCTCTGTAACTACTTGAAATTGCCATGTCCTTACATTATGTAGAATATTGCATGTGCTATGTGCCATGTGATCGCATTGCTGTCGTGCAGTGTCTAGACTCTAGCTACACTGCAGCAGAATCAACCTTTTTCAACACAGAAAAGGCGTGACAAAGGCGTGAAAAAGGTTGATTCTGCTGCAGTGCTATAAGTTGTTGTATGTACCACGCGATCATATTGATGATTGTGCTGTCGTGCAGTGTCTATAAGCCTTGCCTCACACCATGGTTAGTAAAAAATGATGCACATTGGACAAGCTCAAGCAAGATTGGTGTATCAACGATCAGCATCAGAAAGCCCAAAGCCATGTAGCCGAGGAGCGCAGGCTTTACCACAAACATTCTTGCTTCACTCGTACATTTTCTGGCAAGGTAGCCTCTGAAACGGAATTCTTCATAGCTGAACATGAGCCATCTTTAGTCGTCTCTCACCCACCATCAGGAGTCGACATAACTATGGAAGATTTCGGGTTTGATTCACATACACACACTGACACTGAACTTATAGACTATGACATGGTGGATCCTGCATATGAGAATTTTTTGAAGGAGTCTACTGTTGGGCCGAAGAAATGTCTCAGGTCAACCGGTGTATGATACCATTCTACCATATGGTATCTTAATCTAACTTCAACTCTACAGGACCGCACAATGGCTCTCTGGCTTCATGAGCGCGATGTAGCGATGGTCGCAGCGTTGGGCTCAAAACCACATATTTCCATACTCATGTCAACACCCAAAACATATGCACACATGTCCGAGCCACTCCGTATCGGATCCGGCGCATCGGACCTTCGGACATCGCATCGGCCGATCGCACTTCGCGCACACTTGTCCATCCCGTGTCCTGTCCATCCGAACTAGCCTCACTAGGTGCGTAGTTATTCCTGTGCACGTTTTCTGACATTCAGACCACATTATTACATGTCCGCAGTACCTTGTGTCTTATTACATAGGATATCGGACCCAAAATATATCGCTACTATCTTCGCCTGTAGTTTTCCGAATTTCTATGTACTTACTTAAATACTCTGTAGTGACCCGTAGCAATCATCATCCAGTAGTTAGGAGCCGTTTCCCGACTCTGCAGATCACCCAGAATATTCTCGTAGTTCTTAGTTGCATTGCGAAATATTACCATTCATTCACCATCATACTCCGTCACTCATTATACTCGTGCATACCGCTCGCAATCCAACACTCGTTATAAAGTTTCCGACCTATTATCGTGAAGTCCGAAAGTCCGAAATCTCGGACATCGCACTTTGGCTTCGGACATTGGATAAGTACCTTCGGACATCATCGATTTACCTTCGAACATTGTTTCGCACCATCGGACATTTTAGTTATTTGCATTACTGACGCATTTTTACTACTAATACCAATTAGCAACCCCTATAGGATCGAATGCACTTGCTCTGCAAGTATAGCAGACTAGGTCGTGCTAAGATCTACCTAAATATTTGTTGTCTAGGTAGTACGATTTCTGCTGAGCCCAGCGGAGATCAGCTTTCTACAGCGAAAAGTATCTTCTTGAGTTGATCAGACTCGAAGGACGTGGGGACTACGCATCCAGGGAAACTTGCCAAGGGCACAGCAAATGCGCATCTGAGCATGGATATTATTGCCAGGATTGTTTTGGGACAGAGCTCTACTGTCAAGGGTGTATCGTGAACAGGCACCGCGAAAACCCTTTGCACAAGATCGAAGTATGTACCCTATTTTACATTTCTATAGTTGCGTGCTAATCACCCTTCAAGTTCTGGAATGGTTCTTTCTTCGAGGATACCACACTCAAGTATCTTGGACTCCATGTCCAGCTTGGCCACCCAGTTGGCGAACAATGTTTCAACCATTCCCGTGCCTATGATGATGATTTTATCATTCTCGACATTAATGGTATCTACAAACTCGCCTTAGATTTTTGTTCATGTGAGAGTGCACTAAGTCATATCAACCAAATCCTGCGAGCTCGCTGGTATTCTGCGACCAGCATAGATCCAAAATCAGCGGCAATGTTCCATCTTCTCGAACATTTCCACATGCTTATGTTTGAGTCCAAAGCCTCTGCCTTCGAATATTGGCAAACACTGGCACGTCTTACTGATAATACAGGCATCAAGCCATGCAAAGTAAATAGTAGCGTGTCTCGATGAAAGTGTAGTTCACTAATTACAGATTCCTTAGGATTGTTATGACAGTCTCTTGCGCAAGATCAAACAATGGCGTAATCTTAAGCTTTTGAAGCGATTCGGCCAAGGTCATGACCCCGCTGGCATCAATGCAACTGAACAGGGGTCATGTGCCATGGTTTGTCCTGCCTGCCCCCACCCAGGCAAGAACTTACCAGAAGACTGGAAAGTAGCGCTTCTGGACAAACGGTATGTGTTCACGCCCTTGCTTGATTAGCTTACTTATGCCTGCAGGTGGCTGTATGCACAATTTCGGGCCATTGATGTGAATTTCCACTTGGCACGTAAGAACATTTCCTCGGACAGGATTGACCCTGGTTTGAGTAGAGGATGGGCTTATTTCGTTGAGGAGACTGGGTTCAAAGGATTCCTGACCGATGTTGGAACAGTACCACAAGAGGTATGTTAACGTTTTTTTTTCAATACAATCACTCAAATGTCTGGTCTAGAAAAGCACATGTGCTAGTCACAATGCTGTGAATCTTGCTGAAACGAAGAACTCATGAGGATTGGCTGCAACTGGAGCTGGGACTGTGGATTGTTCTCGTCACAACTTCAAGCGGCCGTGTGGGGTGGGTGACCTTCAGAAGGGTGAAAAGTATGTATTCGATGATATGAAAATGTTCCTGCTGATTCTTTGTAACAGGTATATCAACATGGATTACTTGTTTTTGTCGACCATGCAACATTCTGAAGATATCATCGTATTGAACGTGTCATACGATATCGCTTGTCAATGGAGCAAACACCTATGGGGCTGGATGTCAAAATACCCCTCACGCATGCACTTCGCGCGTGATGGTAAAATCATGACCTTTCTTGTCCCAAAATTCCACTTGCCTGCTCACATCACTATGTGCCAGGTTACATTTTCACACAATCTTATCAAGGGAATGGGGCACACAGATGGCGAGGCTCCAGAATGAGGTTGGGCGAATATCAACCCCATTGCTACAAGTACACAGGAGATGTGTCCTGGGGCTTGTCGAGATACACTGGACAACCATTTTGGCGACTACAATTGGAAGAAAGTTACAAACTTTGGTACGTGTCATTTACTTCAGTGCACCCAACATAAATAACCAAGAAAATCTTTAGGTGTTAGTTTGCTGAGCAAAATCAAGGTTGCAATTCCCGAACGTGACCGACACCAACAAGATTTCGATGACTTTCATGTTACACTCATGCAAGAAAGACCAGGTGAGGTAGCAGGGTGGAAAGAAGCTATCGAAAACTGGGAGGCTGACACGTCCAACAAAAATCCCTTTGAGACAACAACCATCAGTAAGTGTGAATTCACACTATCTATTACGTTCACTGATCATATATAGCCTTGATGCAGGCTGCTGTGCACCTGAGACTCTCACAACAGGAAGCCAAAGACCTTGAAAGAGGTTTGAACAAATCACTACACACGGAGGTGTCACACAGTGTACTCATTTCATCAGGAATGGACCTCGAGGAACAACAGTAAGTTTTTCAATGTATTTTATTTGGCATTTTCTAATAAAATAATCTACAGATTTTGGCTGCAGCAAGATCACAATGCCCTGAGTAGCCATCCAACAGACTTGCAGCGGACGAAGCTGCAAGAGTGTTCAAATGCACTGCTGCGCAAGATAGAGCAGTGGTGCAATGTCCAATTACTCTACATGCCCGCTGTCGGTCGCTTGCGTGCATCTGAAATGGTAGGTGCACAATCAGCTCACGAGGAGAAGGCCTATGAAGTCAAGCTTTGGCTACCATCAAAGCTGAAGGAGGCAGCCGAGATGTCGTGTGACGAGCAGCTTTGTGAATATGAGTGGGAATTGCGACGTGCACAGGCACACGAAGCTCTCAATGACATTCGCCGGCAACTCTGTCTTCACACACATCTCTACAAGTTCAAGGACACTTACATTTGGGGGCAATGGGCCAATACCAGGGCATCCGCCATGCTTGGAAAAGTGGAGCAGACCATTGGGACAGCTGCTGCTTGGTATCATAGGGCCTGGGTGGCAGTCAAGATGCTGTCAACAGTGCTAGACAGACCAGATTGGGAGGTAGAATTGCCTCAGCTGCTGGCGGCTGATGTTCGCGGGATGTCAGAGGGAGATATTGGCCAATCCGAGGGAAACCACACACTTTTGTGGATATGGAAGGCTCGTGGGGTGGCTGCGATTGGAGAAGATGGCGAGGCTGTTTTATCAGAAGGTAAGCATTTGCATGATTGGTTGTATGGAGCTATCCTTACGCATGTGGTAGCTTTGCGTATCAAATGGTGCAAATCAAGGGCGTGCACCAATCGTTGGGATAAAGAAGTCGAACTCCTTCAAGAGGAGATGTGGCGCATAGTCAGCTTTCTTTTGTGGCACGCAGGGTGGTGGGAGGAGCAAGCAAGCTGGAGGATGGCGCTAGCCGCACCTGAACAGGAGGGTGTCCGTAAATATGCAAGGCGCCAGGCTGCTCTTCGGAGGGCCATGCGAGACAGATTTCAGGAGATGTGGAGTGTTGTGCCGGCCCTTCTCCAGTCCCCATCACCTGCTATGGAATCCCCCGCATCGTAGTAGAGCTTTTTTGATGTTTTCTGTCTAGTGTATGTTAGCTAAATATAGCAATTTTCATTTTGTTGGTTCCTGGTACCATGAACGGTGGAGAGGCACCCAAGCACAACAACAGACAGAAGCACCAACGAGACAGAGAAGCACCAATGATGGAATCGGGCTCTGAGATTAGGAACTGAGATCTTTCGGTACTGTAAACGGTGGAGAGGCACCAAAACAATTGGGCTTGCAAGAATAGCAGAAGGGGCCTTATGTCAGCTTTGTGTCTATATTGATGGGCAGGTGGTACTCTCTAGCTTGATGCTTCACAATATTCTCTGGCCTGATGCTTCACTGTCAATGGTTTAGAGTCATTTGTGCATCAAGGTGTGTGTCTAATCTCTAGTGATGGAAAAGTCCGGTTTGGTCCAAAAATGGTCCGGTTCTGGTTCAGTGAGGGTTCGAACCGAGAACCGGACCATCCAAACTATATATAAAAATTTCGTCAAGAAAAATTATATTGAAACACGCCCAACAACAGATGCATCATGTAATACTAAATGCTACTTTCACTCGCTTAGTACTCATGCTCAGCACTTGCACTCTTCTGGCTTGCATTGGCACCTGCATGTTCTGAATCAGACCCAGGTGTTGTACAGGAGTACAATCACAGTGCGACTCATGAGCTGCCGCCTCCAGACAATGTGAAGAGTTTCTATAGCTTTCCTGTGTATGGTCTCATTTGCAATTGCGTGTCTTTTTCTTTGCATTCTTTCTCTCATTTTCCTTGATTTTCCTTCCTGAGCAGAGAATCACACATCTAAACAATGTCATAGCGATCGATCCTGGCTAATGCTATATGACCTCCAGTCCAACGACGTCCACCTGCTCATCAGGTACCCCATGGTTTTTTCGATGGAGTCTCACCAGCTTACATGTGTCATCGCTATCACTTCAATTTCATTTTCTTGACCTCTTTGTTCTCAGTCCTCTGCACAAGGCTGTTCCCACTCCTCAGAACCGCAAAGAAGCACACTTCTCAGGCATTTATTCCACTGCCACCACAGCTCATCCAGTGCCCATGATACAGTTACTGGTGATTCTACCCTCGTTTATGCTGATGCATTCCAAACTGTTCTTTTTGCATTATGTACGATATGGATACCAAATGTTTTGTCATCTCTGCCTATAAGTACTACACTTAAACTACATACTGACTTGCCATCGGTTTGAACAGGTTCAAACCTGTTCAGAACCGGTTCTGGAATTCTGCACGTCCCTGAACCGCAGACCGGACCAACAGTTCGGTCCTCCGTATTGCCCGAACCTTGAACCGGACTTTGGTCAGGTTCGAACCGCGGTTTAGAACCAGACCTGGCCATCACTACTAATCTCATACTTTGAAGCTTCAATACTACAGGTACAGGTGTATATAGGTCACCCGACCTACATAATATCCCATATAAGATGGGCCAGCAGACTATGGGCTGATGTTATGTATATCCCTGATGGAGACGGATGGGCCGGGAGGGATATTATTTCCAATGGAGACGGGTGGGCCCATCTATGCTGATATTATATATATCCTCAAAGATGTCGGGTGGGCCGATGTAAGGGTTTATTGTATAGACGGGTGGGCTGACATACTGGAATTATTTTTTAGATGGATGGGCCGAGGGAGTGGTGGAATATTCATTATATAGACGGGTGGGCCGATTGAGGGGGATGTTATATAGACGGGTGGGCCGAGGTAGTGAGATATCTGTCTGACATTCATGGATTACCGAGTCCCAGATGCCCGAAAACCGAATCCCATTGTGCAACATCCATTCCGGACACCCGAACACCCCAAGCTTGAGACTGGAAAATGGAAACTGGTGAAAATGTGTGAAATTTCTATTTCCTTACACCAAACACATGAACACCTGAACACCCAAAGCCTGAAGCTCAAAAGTCCAGTTATCAAATCACCGAGTGCTGAGTCCTGATAGACCCGAAGCCTGAGACCCAAAATTCGAAGCCCGGAACCCAAAAACATGTATGCAAAATGTCCATTTTTCATTCATTGCACAAATCACCGAGTGTCAAGTGACAAAACCCGAAACTCGAGACCCAGTACACAAATCACTAAGTACCGAGTGCTGAGGGCCGAACCCCAAAGTCCAAAACTTGAAAACATGTATATAACATATCCATTTTTCAGTCATTGCACAAATCACTGAGTGTCGGGTGCCAAAACCCAAAACTTGAAACCCAGTATGCAACATGCCCATTTTTCATTTACATTAAACAAATCATTGAATGCCAAGTGCTGAGGCCTGAACCCCGAAGCACAAAACCCGAAAATATGTATACAACATATCCATATTTCCCTCACTGCACAAATCACCGGGTGTCGAGTACCAAAACCCGAAACTTGACACCTGGTACACAAATCACCAAGTGCTGAGTGCTGAGGCCTGAGCTCCAATGTCCAAGGCCCAAAACCTGATGTCCGAAGCCCAAATCCCGAAGCCTAAAACCTGATAATATGTATGCAACATATCCATTTTTCCCTCATTGCACAACTCACTGAGTGTTGAGTACCAAAACCTGAAACTTGAGACCCAGTACACAAATCACCAAGTGCAGAGTGCCAAGTGCCAAGGCCCAAAACCCGACATCTGAAGCCCAAATTCCGAAGCCCGAAACCCAATCATTGCTAACATGCCAGACAAATATATAATCCTCATACATGCATCACCCTACCTCAGTCTATTTGTTCTAAGACTGAGGTATGACTATACATTCATTATCATACTCGACACTGACTAACATTTAATGTAGTCTTCAAATAATCTCCAATTGACAAGAATGATATGAGTATGAAAATCAGTGGTTCTGAGCCCAGCACCACAACCATCACTACACTGAGTACCAATACTTGGTAGGACCACCAATACACTCACATAGACTTGGACTACAACCTTCATTAAGAAAGTTAAGCATAATAATAATTTTCATTTTTTCATTATCATTTTCCTATATTGACTAGCGAGTCCTGAGTCCCGACCCTTGGTAGTCAATACAATTCCCAAGTTATTTGAACCCTACATCAATGGATAATACATACAAATACAGAATTCATGTCCAGTTGTAGTCACGTGTACCGGGTGTTGAGTTTTGGGTTTCGGTACTCGACACTCGGTGATTTGTGCAGTGAGGGAAATATGGATATGTTGTATACATATCTTTGGGTTTCAGGCTTTGGATGTTGGGCCTCGGCACTCAGCACTCAGCACTTGGTGATTTGTGTACCGGGTCTCAAGTTTTGGGTTTCAGTACTCGACACTTGGTGATTTGTGCAGTGAGGGAAATATGGATATGTTATATACATATTTTCGGGTGTCATGCTTGGGGTTTCAGGCTTCAGACATCAGGCCTCGGCACTCGGCACTCGGCACTCGGCACTCAGCACTTGGTGATTTGTGTACCGGGTGTCGAGTTTCGGGTTTCAGTACATGACACTTGGTGATTGGTGCAGTGAGGAAAATATTGATATGTTATATACATAGTTTTGGGTTTTGGGCTTCAGGTTTTGGGCTTCAGACATCGGGGTTCAGGCCTTGGCACTTGGCACTTGGCACTTGGTGATGGGTGTACTGGGTGTTGAGTTTCGGGTTTTGGTACTTGACACTCGATGATTTGTGCAATTGTTACGACTTGGATAGTATCTGTTGGCGATGCTCAAACAGAGCGTGTGTTGTCAACGGTCGAGGACGTCCTTGGGCTAGCCCAAGGTTAGGGGTCTTACTTGGCGAGGCTTCGGCAAGTAAGATTTGACGCCTATGTCCAAATCGGGTAGCTTATGTCAAGCGGTTTGCGAGACGATAAGCTATATCGGCCTAGGCTTACGACACCCAAAGGTTAATCATAAGGATCGTCGTTAATTAGAAGGACAGAAGTCCGACTAGTTAACAGGGGCTTTGCTCGTCGATGAAGTCAATGAGTAAAGGTCGAGACTATAGGCTTATCTGCGAAGAGCAGATAAGAGGATAGAATATAGACTGCTGGCGAGGCAGAAGGATCACTCTGGTAAGAGTATGAGGTCAAGAACCAAGTAGATTCAAGTTAAGGAATATGTTACATGGTAGCGAGTTTATATAGAGGACAGGAAGCATATTAGTGGATGATAACTCGTACTACCAAGAGAAGTAACAGTAAAGGGTATGACCATAAAAGGAAGGCACGTTCGAGGTGAGACACGGGTGAGCTCTGAACGTGCGGATAAGAAAGTGAGTCAAAGATCAGAATAAGAAGTGAAACATGCAGGGGCACGATCGTGCAGCTGCGGAGCTAAGTATAAGTCGCATGTGCAACTGCGCATCGAGTCAGAGATCAGGAAAGGAAACAGGGTAAAGGGGATGCGTCGTGCATCGTATCATAGGTTACCGTCTGGACAGTAAGGGCAAGGGGACTGTCCGCAGGATCAGTCAGGAGGTGGAACGGAGCATGGATATGCTTCGTCAGCGAAAGGATCCGGCCAGATGTACTGGCTCTGCTGAAGCGACAGGTAGAGAGCGAAAGGGAATGCGAGAATGACAAGGATGACCAGGGTAAGGTCAGGGTAAGGGTGTGATGCAAGGGCTGATACGAGGAGGATCAGGAGAAAAATGATAGGGGCCCAAGCGTCTAGATGTTCTCGTAACATTACCCCGGTTTCTAGGACTGAAATCAACGAGTTCAGTTATCTATATTGTCATACCAGGAGGGGTCACAGTCGAGGTCACGGAGCGTGTCCATGGCTTCTAAGGTGTTCTCTTCTCTATCTTGTTCAAGTCGCGCCGCATCGTGATCATATGCTGCTTCTAACTGACGCATGTCAGTGTAGAATGTTTCCCAGGATATTCCTCGACGAAGGATCTTCTTGCCATGAAGGCGAGGGCAGAAGGGGGTGAGATGTCCGGGGACAAACTGTCCACAAATGCAGCAGAAGTATCACTCGCATTGTTTCTGTTTGTGGCCATATTGGTGGCAGACCCTGC